CTAAGCGAGTAGCTGCACTAGCTTGGCTGAGTTTCAGTGGGGTCATTATGTTTCATGTATCATGCTCTATCTCATTCTGTAAAATATTTTCAGGCTGTTAATTTAATTTTCAGATGTCCAAAATTGTTAATAATCCTGCTGACAGAAAAGCAATTATATGGGACCAAAGCCATTTAAGTAAATTTCTGATGTTTATCCCTTTGGCTTTATTTTGTTTCTTCTACTTAATACTTTCTTGCATCAATGTCTGGAAAACACATTTTTCACATCTTCCTTGCTTTGCAATTTTGAAGGAAGGATGGCAAAACGTCATGACAGCCATTTCCCCCATATTATGAACAAAGAATAACTAGGCAGATCAAGACTTTCTCTTGAAGGCAATTCAGGGGAAGTTCGCTCAGTGTAAGGTGTTCACAGGTAAATGCATATCTGTTACATTAGCCATGAAGCAGATTTTCAGTAAGAAAACATATTAAACAACTTTTATGCCTTCACAGCAGATGTGCAAACTGATTTCTAAACTCATGAAGCCCACGCTCAGCCCAGCTCATAGTCTGAGATTTGTGAGTGATCTCCATAGCCTTGGGAAGCATAAATTCCAACCAATGTTAAGGTGACAGTCATTGTATTGAACAGTTTCTGTGTGTCTCTTTTACTCCAACGCCTAGAACACAGCCTGGATGGAAACACTGCAAAGGCAACACAGTGACATGCACAAGGCTGCTGCTCCCTGCTTAAGGCATATAATTTAGGTGTGCACTGTGAAAATGGATTGAGAAGAAATAGGTTACACCGATTAACACAGTTAAATCTTCAGGCTGCTTTCAAATAACACACCTCACATACTGTAGTGTTCAGGAACTGTTCAATCTCTGCTCAGTTGCTGTCTCAAAATATGAAAAAGACAGGCAGCCCTCGATTCTCTAAGATCTGGAGAAAATGAGGGCTATAAATACACTTCACTTAGTTTCTGCTACATAGAGCAAACTCTAATGTAAAACAAGACTTTATATTTGAAAGTTACACTAAAATTACGCTCACTATTTGAAACTGTAAAAGAACTTTCACAGATATAATTATGGTAATTGAGGATTGAGGGGAAAGGGTGCCAGAAAACATTTGAAATCTGTAATATTTTGAAATTCACCCTATATCTCTAATGGTACACTCTACCACAACACATTTCTCCTCTTTGTACAGGAGAAGCCTTGCCAATACCCGATACACTGCTTTTTGGACTTTTATTTGATTTTTAAACTCTTGTTGATAGTATATCTAGCCACACATTTTTAGATGGCAAAGACAATGGGATTACCAACTGACTCTTGAAAATAGTAAGATAGAATAGGACAGAAAGGTCTTTCCAATACAAGGTTTTAGTTAAAAAAAAAAACACTGATGATATTTTCCCTGAGTTTTAATAATTTCGGTTTAGAAGATACACATTCCAAAGTGTATCATCTATAAATACAGATATCTCTAAATTAGTCAGATCCCAAGGTGAGTTTACAAGGGGGTTAGCTAAGAGAGTGACATAGGTGTGTGATGCTAAAACACAATGCTTTCCATGGTTACCTTGTCATATCTGATCTACTTTATAAATCACAATGAAGCAAGCAGCTTCACTGAAACTCCACTCACACCAAATGCTCAATTAATTATAACCCATGTTTCATTTCTGAAAATGAAATCTAACAGCTAAATTATATAACATTTAACTACCAATTACATGGTATGGCATTAATTTATAATGTCCATACTTATTAAAATGAAATCAATATATAATTCAATTGGAACTGATGGGAAGGTAATAAGAAGTAAGTAGTAATATGAATTGGGAAATATTTGTGAAAATTATTACACATAGTAGAGCCACTTAGTATAAATTTGGGTAGAGTTTCTTTTGAATAATTAACATACTTTTCTCACTTATATTTATATAAATATGAAAATACAATAATTTCAACCTAAATGAGTAGATGTGACTTTCTTGGTTTTTGAAATTTCTTCCAAGCCATGAGAGGGACATAAAATGTGCAACGTAAAACCAAGCTATGTTATATATGGTTAGGTTAATTGTATTAGGAATCAGTACCAAATGATGGTAAAATATGGTCTTAGGAAATTAATGTGTGCTTTCCACAGCTGGAAATGGTTAATATCAAAAGCATGATAACAAAATTGGTAAAGATTATGAAATCAGAGAAATTGATTTTTGTTTTTATTTAGGTAAGATAAAGCTTTGGACTTATAATCTAAAACCAGCATGAATTACTGATGTATAAAGCTAAACTAAGGGATATTTTACATAGTTCAAGCTTCTACACCACTATACACAATCCTCTATCTTAGTTTCTGATTTAACATCAAAGTTATATTTAAATTGCAGAACTTAGAGGAAGGCCTCCATTTTCCCTTTCTAGACTGTTAAGCATCTCTCTCTCTCTCTCTCTCTCTCTCTCTCTCTCTCTCTCTCTGTGTGTGTGTGTATGTGTGTATTGGGGGAGGCATAGATATGGAAATTTTCCTGCGTGAAGCAGAGGGACTATTTGAAAACACAATGTAGGAGATATGGTGACTACACAGAGGACACTGCAGTCGAAGGAGAAACTATAGACTTTAAATTAACATGGGAAGATGCTCCAGCTAGTGTTGGGATAGGCTTTGGGAGAAGACAAAGGGATCTGAACCCTGAAGGAAGATCAGTATTCTGTTAGTGAAGGGTCCTATGGGAAACACAAGAAGATATGGAGGCAGGCTTTAGGATTAAATACTGGCCCTGG